CTGCTGCAATACTGGAACTCAGCCCTGACTCAACGGGTATTTTCACATCAGTTTACAATTCGGTTCAAGAGTTACTCAGAAGGAACTGTGGCCACAATATGGGAGGAAGGGAGACTTTTGACACTGTGGATCGATAGACAGGCAGTAATGACTCAAATAAATACTGATTGATATTTTTAATGGGGGGTTAATCCTTCAAGGTGAAGATGGTTTATATACAAAGTAAAGCTCCCTCTACACTGTCCATCCAGCAAACCCAGGTTGGACATGGAGTAAAAACTGTCATTGGCTTTATGCCCGGAAGAATAAAGTACAAAGGAAATTATATTAAATTGATATAAATGTTTGGTTAAATCACATGCGGAGTACTGTGTAATTTCTGGTCACCCTACAGCAGGAAAATATACTACGTTTGCCCACAAATCACACAGTCACGACACTTTATATCATAGTGTGATCCTAGACGGGCCGAATGGCCTGTTTCGGTGCTGTGTCGTTCGATGTAAAACTCCTCCTGCATCGCAAAAACAATCTGACCCCTTTGCTGCAGCAATGTGACGTTGCCACTGTCCACATCAGTACTTGCGTTTAAGAAACAACCGTGGAACTTTACAACACAGGCCATTCAGCCCATCGTGTTCTGTTCTCGCCGTTTGAAAGAGCTATCCATTCCCAATTTTCCTGCCTTTCCTCATACCCTCTACTTTTATCAAATAAGAAAAAAAATAATAATTTCTTCACAGGAGAATCTGCAGCGGACTTTATTGTGAAAAAACGTCTCAATTTAATTTTTTCAACAGCTTTGCACGTAGTCTGGAACACCTCCATCCTCAACTACAGGTATAGGTTTAACCGCACCAAAGATAGAGTTACAACAACAGTCATACCTACAGCTTCAGGTATACCTACAGTTACTGATCCTTACACCTCCAACCACAGTCAGTGCTGTCCCCAAGACCGCTCCTGTGCCTCAGAAACAGCCAATTCCCCTCCGTATCAGACATTTGCTTTTTCTGTCATCTGCCAAAGGAATCCGGAAACCTACAGCTTCTCCATTTCCCCCTGAAACAAATCCTAGACACCAGTAGCCTGATCTCAAGACACAGAGCACAGCACTGGGAGACAGGCTCCCCACGTTATTCCTGAAATAGTCAACTCAGCCACCTACAGTAATATTTGGTAGCCCACCGTGGCATTTGGTAGCCCACCTTAACAATGATTGTCCTGCTAGAACACCAGGTAACCCATACTGTAACCAAACGGCAAAATACTGCAGATAATAACAACAATAATCCTTGCATTTGATAGAGCACCTTATTACATCTTTGAGACATCTCAAAGCGCTCCACAGAATATACTGTAAAGTGAATTGACTGTATATTTTGAGGGCAAACAGTTCTGACGAAAGGTCATTGACCTGAAACATTAGCTCATTCTCCTCTCTCCATAGATGCTGCCTGACCTGCTGCATGTTCCCAGCGGCTTCTGTTTTTAGCGCATACGATAACATTCAGTGATCCACTGTAACATTCTGCAGCTCACTGGAATATTTGGTTGCCCAACTGCCAATCCGATACCCCACTATATCATTTCGATTACCCACTGTAACATTCATTATGACTTTCGTTGCCCATTATAGTATTTGGTAGAGCACTGTTATATTTGGTGTCTCCCCCACCCGACTGTAGCATTTAACAGCCACAAAAACATATGCTGACCCACTATAGCATTTGGTGGCCCACTAAAAATATTTGGTGGCCACAATAGCATTTAATAACCCACTGTAACATATGTTGGCCCACTGTATCATTTTAGTAACCCTACTGTAACATTCTTTAGCCCACTATAGCAAGTGGTAGCCCACTCTAACATTCAGAAGCCCTCTTTAGCACTTTTAGCCCCTTGAAGTATTCAGTGACTCATTACAGCAAATAACAGCATATCAGAACATTTGGTCACCTAATGTAGCATTCGGTAGCCCTCGCTAGCCTTTGGTAGCCAGTCTGGCATTTTGTAGTCCAGTATAAGATTTTGTGTAAAAAATCTGTAATAGCACACTGTAACATTTGGTGGCTCACTGTCCCATTTGATAGCGCACTAAAAACATTTGATGGCCACTATAGCATTTGGTGGCCCACTACAGTATTTAGTAGCCCGCTATACTATTTGGTTTTATACCTAACTCACAATAGCTTGTTCGGTAGCCTATTCATCTCTTGTGCTCCAGTCCTCACTTGCTTTCCTCCTCAGCACAGGACACTGTGAAGTCCTGTAGCTCAGTGGTTAGAGAACTCGCCTCGCAAGCCGGAGGACCTGGGTTTGATTCCCGGGCAGAGACAAAACGTTAGGTAAGTTCCCTTACTCCACGCGCCTCTGTTTACCCAGCAGTGAGTAGGAACTCGGTCGTTAGTCGATTGGTGCATTGCTTTCCGGGGGTAGCAATCCCTTCAAAAAAAACAATAATGGGGTCACTCAATCCACGACTATTTATGGGACAATGCTGTGTGCGATTGGTTGCCAGGTTTGGCCCACAAAATATACAGTCAATTCACTTGACAGTGTATTCTGCGAAGCGCTTTGAGACGTCTCACAGACGGCGCTACATCAAAATAAGGATAATTCTGATTATTATTATTGCCACGTGGGGTTTTGGAGGCCCCGTTCACAATTTTCGTACAATTTCTTTTCTCAGCCGAGTGTCTGAGGAAACCGATCGCTGTGCTTAAGAGGCTCCAAACCAAGCTGAGAATTCCACGAATCCATGCCAGCGACGTGCCACACACACAGCAGTGAGATTAATCATAAAATGTCATCTTATTCATCAATTTGGATGACGGGGAATGTTGCCAGGACACTGGTGCCTTCCTCAATTAACTTAGTGGGTGATCTTTAACATCCACATGTACAAGCAGAGGGGAGCGTGGGTTTAACCAGTCTGGTCTGAATGCCAGTGCCTCTGTTAACCCCAACGCTCCCTCCACCCACTCAGTACTGGGAATTTAGGCACATAAGATTCTCCCCGTATACGTGTGATCACCTTTGAAAACTGTGTCTTCGCGTCCTAAACAAAGAGGAGATTGTGTGAGTGGTGGGAGCTATCCCTAATCACCTGAGTGACATCTGCAACTGAGTTTTATTAAAACCGTTCACATCATATAAACTCCCTTCTCTTTCCGAATAGTGACCATGAGATCTTTAACGTCCGCCTGACTATCTACCTCCTCGCAATATTCCCCCCGCCCCTGCCCCCATACTCTCCTCAATCCCTCCCTTCTAATCTTTCACTTTTTCCTTTAATACTTACCATTACTCGTCCCTCCAGTTTGTCTTCTCTGCAGATGGGTTTTGTCTATGGGTTGCCTCTTGTGTTTGTGGTCGTAACTGTCAGGCACACTCTCCTTCTCAAATGCCAGGCACTGAGCGTCAGAACCAGCACAAGAGGACAGTGCAGCTCACATCATAGGAACATGAGTAGGCCATTCAGCCCTACTCTCTGCTGATTGTGGCTGATCTGTACTTCCAACTCCATTTGCCCACCTTTGCCCCATATCCCTTTGACACTCTGACCGAACAAAAATCTATCAACCTCAGTCTTGAAGATTCCAATTGGCCCAGAGTCCACAGCTTTTTGGGCGGGAGGTTTCCAGATTTCCGCTCCTTCCCCTTTGTGTGAGAAATTGTTGGAAGGGATTGTGCACTCTCTCCCTGGAGGGACGCATCCTGTTTACCTAATTTCGGAAAGTATTAGGTGGTAATACTCGGTTGGCAAGAGCCAAGGCTTGGGGACCCCAGACTGTGCGTTGGGGTAACTGCTGGAGTCTAGCCAGCTAAAACCACGTAGCTTGCCACGGTCTGGCAAACTTTCCCTTTGCTTGTCCAGCGAGGACTACCCTACCCGTTAGGGCTTTGGCTTGCAGGGTTAACAGGAACTAGATGGGAGCAATTCCCCAAAGTGACTGGTCTGGTCTTTCAAGTCCTGCCAATGAGCAAGGCTGACATTTCCCCCCACGAGCAAGACAGTCGATCCATTTGATCGCCGGTTGTCTGAAGATTATGTGCAGTCGGTTGCGATACATTGAAAATAAAAGCACCTCAGTGATTAAGGTGCCGGATGCGCCGGCTACACCTAATCGTTACAACTCGCGAAACAAAATGAAAGTTATTTCAACTCAAATTGAAATCTGCTCATAATCAACAATCAAGAGGAATGAAACTGATGATGATGCTGGGATCGAGCACCCTGTAGCATGCACGGTACTCTTTGCACTCTGACCTCCTGAGCTAAACCCGGCATCGCTAAGGCTTTCTGTTCTGGTCACAATCCCCAATCTCCGACCTACACCTTACACCAAACCCAGACCACACACATAGACTTCCACACCTTGCACCACACACACACACACACACGCGCACACGCTCGCACGCACACGCACAGCCTTCCCCCACCCCCTCACACATACACACACACGCCACACACAGCCTCCCCCACACATACGCACACCACAGACACCTTACACCCACACCCTCCCACACCTTACACAATGACATCCTCTCCGCCTTCAAAAATGCATCAAATTATTATTTAAAAATATTACCCTCAGTTTTCAGATCAAGAAAACTAAAGTCTCACCTTCTTGACACTCGGGATCTTGCGATAAAATAACACTCGTCCCTCCTTCCTACAAAACAAACAGCAGCCTCCAAAAAAAAGAGAGTTTGAAGCCCATTTGAAGCAGGAGCTTTGAGAGAGAGAGAGAAAAAGAGAGAGAGAGAGAGAGAGAGCAAGAGAGAGAGTCAGAGAGCGACAGCGAGAGCGAGAGAGAAAACTAAACTCTGCATCTGCAACCCTGCACAGTGTTTCATGCAGTCAATGTTTGCAAATATGGAAACGACATCTCCAGCCTATTTACTTGCACACACACGAGTATTAGGCAAGAGCATCAGGCATATACTGAGTATGGTACAGTATATTGCATATTACATGGCAAGTGACTCCCGGGTCTTCTGCTTTGGTGAGTTTACGCTTTGAGGGAGGGAATGCTGCTGGATTTCCTCATCACCAGCCGGACTTCGATGTTGGGGAGGCTGTCCTGTTTGGTCTGGGAGCACCCTTCGTCTGTTGCCGCTAGGTGCAGATCGAATCGCAGGGACACAGATTTCTTCCTGAGGTGAGGGTTATCCTTGAAGAACGAGCCTTCCCATTCCTTTATCACCTCGTCCACTTTCTCCGTCCTGAAACAACCGGATTAAGTCGTAATAACGGTCCTGGCATTTGACACAGCGCCTCATCGCGTCTTCGCGACGCCCCAAAGCGCTTCGCAGGATATACGGTAAAGTGAGTTTGACTGTATGTTTTGCGGGCGAAACGCGGCAGCTAATGGCGCACAGCGGCGTCCGGCAGACGGCCGTGGATTGAGTGATACCAAATCATTAATATTTCTCGAAATTCATTTTTGTTTTGAAGGGATTATTATCCCCGGAAAAGCGATCGACTTAATGACCAGGTTCCTACTTACTGTGAGGTAAACAGAGGCGTGCGGGAGTAAGGAAACTTGCCCAACTTTTCGCCCTGCCCGGGAATCGAACCCGGGAGCCTCTCGCTCGCTCTAACCACTGAGCTACAAGGCTCCACGGTTGTCATTTACCGCAAGCGGCACCTCAATGCTTTACATTTTTTTCCTCTTGACGTGGCTTGAGCTATGGAATCTTCGGGAGAGGAGGGCGAGAGGGTTTAAATAAATGGGCTGATTGGAAACAACATCCCCTGTGACCTTGTTCCTCTTTTGCGTTAACCATCCGTGACCTTTGGTGATTTCTGCTGCACTGACGCCCCCGTTTCATAGGAATTTACCTTGAATTTGGAAGTGATTCTCTGCACTCCCCTCTGCCATAAACTACCACGCTGTTACCGTCTACCCCACTCTAACACACACCAGTGCGCTCCTCTGTGCTGTAAGCGCACTCTATGGTGTGCTACCTCACTCAATAAAGACCCCTTTCCTTGCCTCCTTCAAAACCCATCTCAAGACCCTCCTCTTTGACCGTGCCATCGGTCACCCTCCTACCCCTGCCCTGCCCCTGCCCTCCACCCCTCCTGATTCCAGCCACCAGCTCGGGTGGGGGAATCCGTGACTGTCCGGCGTTTTGGGACATTCCCCCTGACGTGAAAGGTGCCACGCAAGTGTAATTTTGTTGTTGTTGTTGTTGTTGCCTCCCATCCCCACAAGATGCCATTTGCAATGAATGTTCTTGGAATGCTGAATGATGGTGCCGTCCGGTAGTTAGAAGAGGGGACACTTACTGAATTTTACCACGAGCCTCTGCACTCTGCCTCACCACGTTCCCACCTAAAATCTCCCTCGTTGTCAACGTCTCGATCTTCTGCTCCAGGTGATTCTCGAGGACGGCAGCTGCTGGACAAGCCATTGGGTCAACTAGTGCAGACGCAATACCAGTACGAAGCAATACAATGCAAAATGACATTTTACGTTTACGCAATGAATCACGAAACTCAGAGCGCTTCACAGTAACGGATCCTGGGCCCGAGCCGGGGGGGAGGGAGAGGCAGGTGACCAAAGGCGCGGTCGAAAAGAAAGGTCTTTAGGAAGAGAGAGGGCGAGGCGAAGGGAGTGAGGAAGGGAGTTCCAGAGCCTTGGGGCGTAGTGGCTGAAGGCACGGCCGCCGAGGGTGGAGCGGAGGACTCGGGGGACAAAGAGAAGGTCAGACCCGGTGGAACGAAGGCAACGGGCACTGTTGTGAGGGGAGAGGGGGTCAGAGAGGTTGGGGGGTGCAGAAGAGTGTAGGGATTTGAAGACAAGAGTGAGGATCTTGAAGTCGATCCTCTCTGGGACAGGCAGTGCAGTCTGGGGAGGACTGGGGCGATCGGGGAGCAGAGTTTGGTGCAGGTAAGAATCCGGGCGGCAGAATTCTGGAACAAGTCAGGCAGAACGGACACAGCAGATTAATGAAAAGGTACATGTTTGGAAGTTGTACTCACAATGGCAAGAATGGAATAGTTAGACCTACACTTTATGAACAATGCTACTTTCTGGCCCATTTCCCCAGAAGAATAAACGGTTGGTTCTATGTAACGGGAAGGGCACGAACGTGTGCCTATTGTATCCAACCTCCAGCTTGGGTACAAACCCTTGATCGTCCAGCACTTTGGGACATCCTCCTGACGCAAATGGCGCTGTAGAAATGTAATTTGTTGGCGTTGTGGTGATGTGGTAAGGACCTGCAACACCGAGGGTTGGGAGTTGGGGGTCAGGTATGGTCGAAGAGCAAGGTGTTTGGACGAGGCTTGAAGGAGCCAAGGGAGGGAGGGGGGGGTGAGGTGGAGGGATTTGCGGGATAGAGTTCCAGAGTGTGAGGGCAGAGATGCTGAGCTGTTAATGGTGGGGTGGGTAGTGGATTAAGAATGACAAAGTCATAAGAGATTAGATCACTTTTCCAGCTAATCCCCTCCTACTGTACGCGGTGACTGGCGTGTGAAGCCTGTTGAGAAAACACACCAACCCTCACCTGAAGACACAGCGATTTCTCTCTGAGCAAAACCGGTTAGTGATGATTCAGGGCCATTGCCACAGAGTCTGAAACACAGAAAAGTACTGAGACACTGGAATATCACTCACGTGTGCACGTGCTGTCCTATCCCTACTTAGAAGTACCTTCGTGATTGTATACTTTCCGGCGGAGGAGTTGAGGGGGTCACCAGTCACACCGAAAATGATTACATTATAATAACAATAATAACTTAAATTTTGGTGTCTTTCACATGGTGGAGGACGTCTTAAAGCGCTTCACGGGATACACCGTAAAGTGGAGTGACTGTGTATTTTGAGGAGGAACGCAGCCGTCACTTGATGCACAGCAACGTCACACAAACAGCCACGAAACAAACAACCAATTTTATTTGGGGGAACCGTTGGCCAAGGCGCCAGGAGAAACTCCCTCCTCTTTGCGAAGAGCAGCATAGGGTCAAGACGAGACAATTTAGTGAATATTAGTGAGTATTTTTGATGCAATTCACGCTTGAATATCAGGTGTGAAAGCATTCTCCTCTCACTGTGCTATTCTGCTGGAGAGCGCAGGTTACAGCGATGCCATTATTACAAGGCCTTCAGTGATTCAGTGAAGCAGTTAAGTTCAGTGGATAAGACAGCATCGGAATAGGTTTGATTGGTCAAATGGCCTTCGCTGCAATGGTAATGATTCTCAATCCACATCGCTAGAGACCTACGTAGCCTTTATTCTCAGTTTCCAACGCTCCACGAGCCTGGTTTTCTTCGCAATATCCTTTAATACTTCCTGCTTCCATTTTGTTGCCTCTTTCTTAATTGCCTTTTACTTCTTGAAAGGAGTATCCTACAGCGATGGCTACGGTCAGAATATTTTGTTTCCTAATAAATTTATTAATGAGGTGCGCTTAAGAGAATAATCGAAGTTGGCTTGTAATGAGGGCAGTAAATAAGCTACGCGTGTAATCATCCACGAGGATGGTAAGAGGAATGACAATCCTTGCATTTGATACAGCGCCTTATCACGTCTTCGAGACGTCTCAAAGCGCTTCACAGGGTACACTGTGAAGTGTAGTGACTGTGTATTTTGTGGAAGAAATGCGGCAGACAGTCGTGGATTGAACGACTAAATTATTATTTTTTTTGAAGGGATTAATACCCCCGGAAAAGCGATCGGTCAATCAACTAACAACCAGGTTCCTACTTACTCCTAGGTCGACAGAGGGTGCGGAGTAAGGAAACTTGCCCAACATTTCGTCCCGCCCAGGAATCGAACCCAGGTCCTCTCGCTACAGGACTCCAATCTATCAATGAACCGCGCGAGTCACACTCAAACTCTTCATGTTGCCGAGGATGAAGTGGAGCAGTGTTTGTGTCGAACACTCACCGTCTCTCCTCTCTGTCCAGCAGGCTGCGATATGTTGCTATTTCCCACTCCAGTTTCATCTTGGTATTCAGCAGTATCTGGTGCTCCTGCACCTGGTGCTCGATGTCTCTCCTCACTTCCTGGAGCTCGGTCTCTAGTTCTGTAATCACCGACTCCAGGCCATGGAGTTGTAGCTTGTAACGCTGCTGGGTAGCATGCAGAGAACTCTCCAGACCCTTCTCCTGTATAAGAGACATCCATATAGCATGAGTTAGTCTACAAACTCTCACCGTTTCAGTCCAGCTCCTATTTCCACCCACCCAAACACTTATCATAGAATCATGGATTTATACAGCACAGAAGGAGACCATTCGGCCCATCGTGCCCATGCCAGCTCTTTGAAAGAGCTATCCAAATCAATCCCCCATCCCCCCTGTTCTCCCCCCATAGCCCTGCAGATTTACCCTCCCCAAATATCCATCTGCATCTCTCTTGAAAGTTGTCATCGGATCAGCTTTCCACCAGCCTTTCAGGTGATGCATTCCAGATCCCAACAACTCGCTGTGTGAAAAAATTTCTCCTCACCTCCCCTCTGGTTCTTTTGACAACTATCTTCGATCTGGGTCCTCTGGTCACCGACCCACCCGCCAGTGGAAACAGTTTCTCCCTGTTGACTCGATCAAAACCGCTTATGTGTCCTGTCTTCACAAGGGATGTTCCAGATGGTGTATCTCACCTTGTATTTGAGGTGAAATACAAGGCGGTGAGAGAAGGTGAGGCTCTGTGTGATGCGTTCCAAGTCGAGTCGTGGGGGGAGGTAAGCAGGGAATCTTTACAGCTCAGGATACGGTATATAGTTAGGGGCATGACATGTCAAGCGACTGCCAGGCAAACTAGATGGACTTTGGTCTCCTTTAGTAGAGCAGATTCTTAGGTTCTTATGGACTGGGAGCGTACGGTTTTGACTCCTGGTGTGTGCTGAGTTTGCTGGTCTCAGTTGGGGCTGTATGGGAAGGCTAAACTGCTTCCAGCTGGTCCCTTGCTAACCTTTTTTGAATTCAAATCAAGGAATTCAACAACTCTTAGCCCTATTTCTTTACCCAGAGCTAATAAACATCTCAAACAGGTTCTTCACCCGAACCTCTGGTCATCACGATTAATCCAAACCCACCAGGCCATTTGTCTCCTCGCTGTGTGTGGCACAGATTAATGGGCCAGTTTCATAGCAGCGACTCAAAATTAATCACTGATGAACAAATACTTTTCTCTACTTTAAGAGCTGATTCATGCTTAGACACAGTTCCGGATGTGCTGGCTAATCTCTGCTCAAGTGGCCATGTTTTCTGTGTCAGTCTGGACAGTCATCTTATCTGTGTCCATCACAGTCACAGTTTAGCTCATTGCTGCCCACCCTGATTTACACAGACATCAACACACACACATATATTCCAGCAAAGGCTTCGGGTGGGGGTGACCAGTACTGGGGAGCAATCAACAACAGGAACCCTGTCTTATTCCTTCCCCTCCATCCTCCCCAGCCCAGGCAAACTAAGGTCAAATGTAGTGTCCTCTCCAACACTTTCCTGATTAACATCAGCAACTCAGCTCAGATTAAACCTGGTACTAAACCGGATCTCTGTCCCCCGCTATGTAGCAGTACCTCTGCTCGCCTCGCTCCGGCCTCCTCCTGTCTCCCGGATCCTCCGCCCCAACATCGGAGGCCGCGCTTTCAGCCACTACGCCCCGAAAGTGAAACTCTCACCCCCTCAATCCCTCTCCCCATTTTCAGGTCGCTCTCGAAGTCCTTCCTCTTCGACCGTGCTTACAGTCGCCTTTCCCCTCCCCCTGGCTCGGCTTCGTGCTCCGCCATTGTTAAGCGCTCCGAGACGCCGGCCGGCCTGAAGGGGGCTTATATAAACACAAGTTGTTGTTGGTGGTGTTGTTACACTAATTGTGGAGGAACAGATGATGTATTTATTACGAGACTAACCTTGAAGGTAAAACTGAACAGACAGGAGCTTTGCATTTGTCCAGTGTCAGGGGAATTTATAATGACTAGACTTTCTGCGCACGCTCCTATTGACAGGGATGGATTGGGGGTGGATTAGTGCTGTGTCATCATAATAATAATAAGAATAATAACCTTTGCCTTTCATACAGTGCCTTACATCATGACTTCTCGAAACGCTTCGCAAAGGATGTGCTGTAAAGCGAATCGACTGCGTTATATACGCACTGAGCCTCAAAGTGCGTCTCGCGCGGACTCTCACCAAAGCCTGGAGCGAGTCCATTTCCACCTGAAGGCTGTGCCACTGTCGCTTGGCATCGTTGAGCTCTGCCCTGGCCGCCCTCAGTGAGTCGTCCCCATTGCTCATCTCGACCCCGGTCAGGTCCGGAAGCTGCAGGGGAAACAAGCGCAGACGGCAGCAGTCGCGCATCACTCGGGTGACCGTGCGAAGAATCCATCGGCCACATTTCAGACCAGTTCTTGTGTGGGAGGGGGTGTGGGGGGAGGGTTGGGGGTGGGGGTGGGGGGTGGGGGAGAGGGACGTGCCATGGAGCGATGAGATAATTCACTGCATCTTACGTAACTAAGTGACAGGCCTGGTGGAAGGTAAGCAGCAACCTACCTGGACTTTGCTGCTGGCACTCAGTGCTGCGGGGGTGCATTGAATGAGGCTGGTGTAATGGGTCCTGATGTCTGTAAGGAGCTGGGACACTTCCATTCCTCCTCTCGTCTCATCCTCCTCGCTCACTGGCTGGGTACCGGGAACCCAGCGAGGCTGCAGAGCCGCGACTTGCTGCAGGACACAAACAGCAGCAGCTTAAAGCTACACTGTGTGCTCCTAAACCAACCCACTGAGCACCATCGCAACCGTGATTCGTGATTCGATAAGGGGGTGACGGCAATCCGAGCCAACATGCACTCTGCAGCTCGCAAACACAGCTCTCAGCACAGCTCAGCGCTGCCCGGCTCGGTGCCCCCTCGCTCTTTTATGGTAGTGCAACTCAATTTCCTGCAGCCTTTTCATCTCCTGGTTAGCGTCGGTCACACTCCGCGAGAGAACAAAGGTTTTGGGCGCGTGACAGGGCAGAGGTTGTGTTGCTGCTGCTGTGCTCTGTTCATCCTCTCCTTGTCCTTTTGTTCTCGGTTGATAGACCCGTTCGCTCTCAGCCACACATGCAAACACTCTGCGTGAACACACGCCTCTTTGCAACAGCAACGACGGCAACAACATTACACGTGCAAAGCGCCTTTCACGTCGGGAGGACGTCCCAAGGCGTTGGACAGACAGAGGTTCGGACCCAAGTTGGGGGTCGGGGTCGGGGAGTGCGGAGGGCAGGCGGTGGTGGGGGGAGTGGGGGGAAGCAGGGAGATTGAAAGCACGGTCGAAGAGGAGGGTCTTGAGATGGGTCTTGAAGGTGGCGAGGGAGGGGGCGAGACGGAGGGACTGTGGGGTGGAGTTCCAGAGGGTGGGGGCGGAGTGGGAGAAGGCCCGACCGCTAATAGTGGGGCGAGCGAGGCGGAGGGGACATGAGGCAGGCCTGAGCCCGCTGAGTGGAGGGAGTGAGCAGGATGGTAGAGGGTTAGTAGGTCGGAGAGGTGGTGGGGGGGGGGGGGGAGGGGGAGCGAGGCCATGGAGGGCTTTGAAGGTGAGGACCAGAATATTGAACTGTATCCTCTGTGTGAGAGGAAGCCGGTGGAGTCGGGCGAGAAGGTGGGGGAAAGCACAGCGGGTCATGGCGCAGATGTGGGGTAGAGCGAATAGTTGAGGGTCAAACAAGACGCCAAGATTCTGGACTGGCTTAGCAAGGTCGGGCGTGCAACTGTGGATGGTGATGCTGTCAGCGGTCTTTAGGCGGATCTTGCGTGCGTGTTGGGGGGCGGGGGGAGGATTTGGGGGAGCAGTACACATTTGGGGGGGTGTTGCATTGTCCTTCAGACGAGACGTTAACCCCGAGGTCCCGTCTGCCGATTCAGAGGGGACGTTAAAGATCCCAAAGAAAAGAGAAGACTCTTTTGCCCACAAAATACACAGTCACTCTACTTTACCGTAAGCACGATCAAAAAGGAAGGTCTTTAGGCGGTATGTGAAGCTGGGGAGGGGAGGGAGGGGGCAAGGCAGACTCTGCACAAAATCCATGGACACTACAGTATATCCTGCGAAGCGCTTTGAGACGTCTGTTCGACGTGAAAGGCGCTGTAACTGGGATTGAACCCATCACGTGCCTCGTTGCCCCACACCTACCTGCCGCTGACTCTGCCTCAAAGCCAGGAGCTCCTGCCGCTGCCTCTGCGTTTTCTTTCCCAGCTCCTCGGATTCCAGCTCCAACTCCTCGTTCACCCTCCTGCGGTAACTCCGGATCCCGGCCCGAAGCAGCTCCTGCCTGGACCGTTCCAATGTGTACCTGTGGGCCCAACCAACATCCAGCCAACATGGCTTGAGCCTCAGGACTTTGACGTAGTGAGTTACGTTCAGATCTGTGGTGGAGTCCCGTATCTCAGTGGTTAGAGCGCTCGCCTCGCAAGCGAGAGGACCCGGGTTCGATTCCCGGGCAGGGGGCGAAACCTTGGCCAAGTTTCCCTACTCCACACACGCGCCTCTGTTTACCTCGCAGTAAGGTGGAGCCCGGTCTTTAGTCGATTGGCGGATGGCTTTTCCAGGGGTAATAATCCGTTAAGAAAATAATAATAATAATAATAAATTAGCCACTCAATCCACGACGGTCTGTGGGGACGCTGCTGTGCGCAATCGGCTGACGTGTTTCGCCCACAAAATATACAGTCAATTCACTTTACAGTATATTCTGTGACGCGCTTTGAGACGTCTCGAAGACGTGATAAGGAGCTCTATCAAATGCCAGGATTATTACTATTATTATTATTATTATTGGTCACAGGAAGTGCCACTTACCAACCCCGTGATCGGTTGGTTACGTGTGCAGTTTGCTTACTGTGCTCATTAGAAAGCCGCCGTCGCTTATTCTCTTCAGCGCGACTCACTCACTAATTTGCTGGGAAACAAACGATTCTGATGATGGTCGTCGCTGTGGGATATCCCCTTTAAGAAGTAGACGGCAATTAAGAAAGAGCCAACACAAGGGAAGCAGGAAACATTAAAGGATCCCAGGAAGGGAAACAGGCTTTGTGGAGTATCGGAAGCCGAGAATAAAGGAGTTATTTAATTCACCATTGTTGTGGATTGAGAATCCTTACAATTGCAGCGAAGGCCATTTGACAAATCTATTTCGTCGCGAAGACATGATGAGGCGCTATATATCCAATGCAAGAATTATTATTATTATCATTATTATTATTATTAATACTATTCTCAGAAGTCATGTTCGGTCTGCACAGTACCCTGGTCAGGCTACACCGAGAGGACTGCACACGCTTCTGACCGCTGCAACTTAGGCAGCGCAGAGGAGATTTCTCAGCGCAGATCTTGAAGAGGTAAACGAGGCTTGAAATGGGATTGAAGAAGGTGAACCCAGAACGAGATCTGCAGAAGCGCGCTAAGGAAGCAGGAACGAGAGAGAGAGAGAGAGAGAGAGAGAGGACAGACACTAGGAAGTGTTTCTTGATCGAAAAGGGTCTTAAATTTTTTTTAAAAAATGATAATTCGCTCACTCAATCCACGGCTGTGTGTGGGGACGCCGCTGTGCGCAATCGGCTGCCGCGTTTCGCCCACAAAATATGCGGTCAGTTCACTTCGCAGTCTATTCCGTGAAGCTCTTTGAGACGTCTCGAAGACGTGATAAGGCGCTGTATCAAATGCCAGGATGATTATTATTGCTCGGGATTACTCCCTGCACTTCTGCGTCAGCCGGATCGTGGAGGCAGCTGGAGTACGAGGACGGATTGATGTATACTGTAAGGAGGAACTCTCTCCCCCAATCCCTCCGCCTTGCCCAGCCCCCTTCCCCACTTTCAAATCCTGCCTAAAGACCCTCCTTTCTTTGATCGTGCTGACGGTCACCTACCACCCCCTACCCCCCCCCCCCCCCCCGCCCCACCCACCCCTCCTCTCCCCTTGGCTCGGGGGTCAGACTCCGCCACTGTCAAGCTCTCCGGGACTCTACCTCTCGTGAAGGGCGCTATATAAATGCAAGTTGCTGCCGTTGTTGAAGGAACTGTGGTCGAACCTTGCCTGAAGCTGGGCGGCTTGCCTCTGCGTTCTCTCCAGGAGAAGGGCCAGACGGCCATTGGTCGCAGTGCTCTGGTAAACCTGCGGCAAAGAAAGACAATATCCTCAGCTGCATCTCACCCCTTGATTCAGCCCTGCACAGCCTCCTGTCTCGGCGAGTGACTTTATACGCAATAAACTCCTGATACCTCGTCCCTCCTAAGGAAAAGGGTTCGGCGACGAGTTACGCGGAGTGGCAAATTAGGCAGTTGTCTAAACGTACAAATCTATAAATAAGTGAGGCCGGGCTAATAATAAATGATAATAATAATCCATGCGTTTGATACAGCACCTTATCAAACCTTTGAGGCGTCTCAAAGCGCTCCACGGAGTATACTGTAAAGCGTAGTGACCGTGTGTTTTGCGGGCGGAAACGCGGGCAGCCGATTGCGCACAGCAGCGTGCCCCCACACGCACAGCCGGTTGACTTAAGCGGCGGTGACAAGTTAAGCCGGGGTCAAATTGTCGGGGAGTCTACCGTACGCCTATTTTAATCATTGAGGAGAAACCACTATTCCCACATTTCCGTGAAGCTGTTTTTTTCCGCGGGTTTGGTAATAAATCATGCGGAAAAGGACGAGATTGGCAGCTCCAGTTGCCTCTGAGACACACACAAGCTGTAGAGAGGCAGATGATTTCTTTTTAACCCAATGTGCACTGTACAGGGTGTTCGCAAAGTCCTGTTACTCCCCCCCACCCCCACCCCCACCCCCCCCCCCACCCACACCCTCCCTGTTTTTTTTCTTACAAAGAATTTCTATTTTCTGTTGCAGATGAGATGAGTGTAACAATGTCTTACGCCAGTAACTTCCTCCTCGCTGTCGCCATCCATGTTACACGAGATGTCACACCGAACATGGCTGATCATTATCTGCTATGGAAATGATGGCACTCCCACTCCCACACGCGCACACACACACACACACACTCACTCACACACACGCACTCCCACACAAACTCAGACACATGCAATCACACACACTCGCACACATACACTCACACACACACACACTCAGACACAGGCAATCACACACACACACACACACAAAGTCACATACGCACACACACTCACACACGCATACACACACACTCACACACACACTCACCAGACACACGCAATCATACACACACAAACTCAAGTACGCACACACATACAGACATGCACACACACAAACTCACACACACACATGCACACACACACACACACACATGCACACACACACTCACACGCACACTCACACACACACACACACCAATCCTCTGGATGTCTAAATGCAACTATCATCATTCTTCCACACATTTCTGTTGTTGGTCAGTGCGCTGAAGAAATAAAACACGGGGGTAACAGGACTTTGTGAACACCCTGTTTAGCACGAGATGGCAGTAAACTGTTTCCCCTTTTACCCTTTTATAATAATAATTATAATAATAATAATAACCCTTGCATTTGATCCGGTGCCTTATCACGTCTTCGAGACCTCTCGAAGCTCTTCGCAGAATAGACTGTAAAGCGAATTGACCGTATATTTTGCGGGCGAAAGGCGGCAGCTGATTGCGCGCTGCAGCGTTCCCCGCAAACAGCCGTGGATTGAAGTGACTAATTTATTATTTATCTATTTATTTGAAGCAAGTGTTACACCCCCACCCCCATCCCCACCCCCACCCCCACAAAAACGATCTGTGTAAACTGTAGACACTGGAGCTGCCACTGAAACAAACTCACACACAACCACACGTGCCAGCCAGCCAGGAATGCTTCCCTGTTAATCGCTGGTGTGTGTGTCTGTGTCTCTGTGTGTGTGTGTGTGTGTGTGTGCGCTGTAACTCTACCTACACTCTGCGTAAGCTCTCTCAGTTGCTGTTCTGAGTCACTGCAGGTCCGGTATTTCTGAGCACGCCTCCTCATCCAGCCTCTGATCTGCGCTTCCATCGCGCTGTTCCTCTCTTCCAGGGAGTGAACTTTCTCTATAAATCCAGCAAACTTCGTGTTCAGCTGTTTGAGGGTTTCCTGGGGATCAGACAGGGATGGGATAGCCGGGGCTAGCGGGGTTGGCGATGAATACATCTCTCCGGCTTTAGGCAATGCGGTAAGCGCGCAGTCCTCTCTCCCGCTCACAGTATTTCCCTTCGGGTGGACCTCAATCGTCCCCACGCGAGCCAGCCACTCCGAGCTCCATCGCCAAACTATAGCCCGCGAAAAAAAAGCCACGAGCTCTTCGGAAGCTCCCGCATCCTTTTACCGCAACGGCGACTCCTCTTTTGTATAAATAATGCGAAATCGAAATCCGAGCGAGCCCGAGGTGGGAAGCTGGCCCTGGTGAGGGTCAGTGGTTGCAGGGCAGCGCTGGGCTGGGGTGTGATCTCGTGATAAGTCAGTCAGTCAGTCAGTGTGGCTATTGTCCTGAATTCAGTTGCATCAGCCGGAATCAATCCGCCAAGCTTGAAAGCATTCGGTCACAATGCAGTGGCTTGGAAACAGCTATACAAACCACAAACCCGCGGTGATCAGAAGTGACGGTCGTTTCAAACCCATGATCACGGAGGCTTATTGGATGTGGAGAGGCGAGAGCCACTGCATGGAGCACTGGGGGCGGAATGAGGCAGTGAGTGGTGGGGTGGGGGCGGGGGATGCGGGGGAATGAGGACAAGAAGCAACGAAGAAACATCCGCCTTTCTCCCCCACGTCCATTCCCCGACCAGGACTCCACCACCCGCTGCCTCCGCTCAGCTGGCTCCAGCCTCCTATTTGTCCGCCGTCGTCTCCGTCCCTTCAGCCCCTCGGCCACAAAACTCTGTAACACTCTCCCTCAAACCCTCTGCCTTGCCCCTCCCTCCCCGCTTTCGAATCCCGACTAAAGACCTTCCTTTTTGATCGTGCTTATGGTCACTCTCGTTGACCAACTCCGCAACTGTTCCGCACAACCAGGACACTACCCCATGTGAAGGGCGCGATATAAATGCAAGTTGTTGTTGATACTTCTTACCCAGCCTTCTTACACATCCGTACGCAAGCGTCGAGGGTGAAGCTGGGGAATGCAGGGCAGTCACTAAACTTACTCTCATCAAACTCCAACCAGATTGACATCAAGAACCAGCCAATGTTTTAATGCATCACCGAAACCACTTTATTAAAGATCAGAGAAACGTAAACCTCGATCCACAAACATTAGTCAAAATCGGGAAGAAATTCCACCTCGGGTTACCCACATTTCCGCAATTAACGATAGCATTTCGGAGCCAATTGTTCGATCCAGTTTTGTATTTGAACTTCTTGGAAGAGCTTCAAAATCAAAGCTGTATTTAAGAATTGACTCACTCTGAAATAGTACCGAAATCTGGATTAAATGTGGACCCAGATGGAAATTTTCCTCACACAGGTTTTAGGTTCACATAGAGAGCTATTATTAGTAGTATTACATTCATTATAAGGAGAGAACTAGCATCGAGGAGGAATCTGGAGTCCTCTTTTTTCTATTGATCTCTTCTATTTTTGTTCTTCCTGAACTTCTTGTATGTCTGAGGACACAACCTTCCCGTCAACTATTTTCTCGATGACCGTGACTACCTTCTTGATTGTGTGGATTTCGGGCTCTGCAATAAAATTGGGAAAAGGTGACTTACAAAACCTCGGCACAAATTTAAGATAAGATAAAAGTTTGTAAAGAGGAACAGACTGTTCCACATCGCGTTAGGTAACGCTAGTTTTAAACAGGCCCTTCGACCCATCAGCTCCGCACAAGAACCAACTAATCTACTCCTCGCTCTCCTGCTCACTCTCCATAATCTTGAAATACTCCTCTTTTTCCTCGAAAATCTATCTAGTTAATTTCCCCTTGATAATTTTCCTTTAGTAGCGTTATCCTACTTGGCAAGAGAGAACAAACAGAGCTTCCAGAAGTTTGAAAAGTTTAAACAAATTGTGAACAGGTGACAACAGGTGAAAAACGACGTCTTTGCATTTCATAGTAAATCGGGTGAAGGGCTTTGAGACTTCCTCCCGACATCAAGGGCTTTATATATGATGATTATTATTATTATTATTCTGTGAGACAATGTGAGATGATCACTTACCACGCGTGACTATGATTTCAGTTCTGTTGGAAGAAGAAAAACAAACCATGATTTAGGACACATCAGAAAGCAAAAAAGCATCTTGCAACGGTGTGGGTGTTGTACAGTTCTATGCTATCCCACAGCACATGTTCTACATTTGAAGTTGCAGATGAAATATAGAATATAAAAGTCAGGAAGTTATGATGAACCTCTATAAAACACTGGTGAGGCCCTCAGCCGGAGAATGTGTTCAGTTCTGGGCACCGCACTTTAGGAAGGATGTCAAGGCATTGGAGAGGGTGCAAAGGAGATTGACCAGGATGGTACCAGGAATGAGGGCCTTCGGTTATCAGGAGAGGCGAGAGACGCTGGGATTATTCTCCTTGGCGCAGGGAAGGTTAAGAGTAGACTTGATAGAAGTTTTCAAAATGATGCGGGGATTTGATAGGGTGAATAAGGAGTTATTTCCACTGGCGGGCGGGTCGGTAACCCGAGGACACCGATTTAAAATAGTTCTGGGATGTTGGACTTCCTCGAAACCAAAGTCTAGGGGATCCACTCAACTGCCTCTGCCCTTCCATCTACTACCCCCTACCCATCTCCCCCTCGCATCCCCACCTCTACCCATCCCTCTCTCGACACCTTCGAACCTGTTTCCCCATCCTCTCTCACCACCACCATAACCCACATGAAACGAACCACCTGCACCCTCGACCCCATCCCCTCTCCTTACCTCCCAGCTCCCCTACCCCTCTCCTTAGCTCCCAGCTCCACCTCATTGCCCCTCTACTCACAGACATCATAAACCTTTCCCTGTCCACTGGCACCGTTCCCACTCCTTTAAAAACAGCTGTCATCACTCCTATCCTTAAAAAACCCTCCCTGGACCCATCTCTGCTCTCAAATTAATGCCCCATCTCCAAACCCCCTTTCCTTTCCCAGGTCCTCGAATGAGTCGTTGCTTCCCAGCTTCATGTCTTCCTCTCCCGCCACTCCCTTCACGAACCCCTCCAATCGGATTTCCGTGCAGCTTTAGAAACAGCTTTGGTCAAAGTGACAAATGACATCCTGTCCATCTGTGACCAGGTCTCCCTCTGCCTCCTCATCCCCCTTGACCTCTCTGCTGCTTTCGATACTGTTGACCACTCTATCCTCATCCACCGCCTCTCCTCTCACCTCAACCTTCATGGTTCTGTCCTTGAACCGTTCAGATCCTACCTCTCACACCATCTCCGCTTTATCTCGACAAATGGTTTTTCCTCCAGCCCCCACAATGTCTCGTGCGCTGTTCCTCAGAGCTCTGTCCTTGGTCCCCTCCTCTTCAATATCTATATGCTCCCTCTTGGTGACATCATCCGCAAACATGGGGTCAACATCTACATGTATGCGGATGACACTCAACTCTATCTGTCTGCCTCCAGCCTCGACTGCCTGAACCCACTGCTGTCCTGACAACATTTCTGTCAGACATCAAGTCCTGGATGAGGGACAACTTTTGTCAGTTGAACGTCATTAAGACCGAGGCTCTCCTGATTGCCTCCCATCAGCGCCTCCACACTTCAGAGGCTGACAGCATCACCATCCAAGGATGAGTCAGTACGGGACCTTGACATCTTGTTTGACCCTCAACTATCCACATCCGTGCCATGACCTGCTCTGCCTTGCTCCACCTCCTCAACATCTCTCAGCTCTGCCACTGTCTCACACCACAGGCCACCGAGACCCTCATACACGCATTCATAACGTCCAGGCTTGACTATGCAAACTCCCTGATTGTCGGACTCCCCAAACTCCTCCCTCCACAGGCTACAGATCATCCAGAACTCTGCAGCCCTCTCCCACACCAGGCTCCGTGACCCTATCATCCCCATCCTCGCCCGACTCCACTGGCTTCCCATCACACGGAGGATACAGTTCAAGATCCTGGCCCTCACCTTCAAAGCCCTCCATGGTCTTGCTCCCCCCTACCTCTGCGACCTCCTAACCCCGTACCAATCTGCCCACTCCCTCCGCCCAGCAGGCTCCGACCTACTTCACATCCCCCACCTCGCCCGCCCCACTATTGGTGGGTGGGCCTTCAGCCACTCTGCCCCTTCTTGAAATTCCATCGCCCCTTCTCTTCGACGATGCCTTCCGATCACCTTCCTTCCGCCCCCTGCCTTCCACCCTCCCCGATCCTGACCCCCAGCTCGGGTCCGAAACACTGATTGTCTATCCGATCGTCTTCCCAACATGAAAGGCGCGATACAAATATAACTTTGTTGTCGTCGTCGTTGTTGTGAGTGTGAGAAAAGTTAGTCTGTAGGATGAGACCAAACTGGTGGTGTGACAAAGCCTTTAGCTTTTCCCTTACCTTTCTTCTCCATCCAAAAGGCGCCGGTATGTGGCAATCTCCATCTCCAGCCTGGTTTTCACGCCAAGAAGCTGTGAGTATTCACTTGACTGCCGTTCCATTTCAGCCTTGATCTGTGACAACTCATCTTCCAACCTGACGATGTGATCCTGAAGGTGGAGGAGCTGATCGCTGTAGCGGTGTTCTGCTTCGTAGACATTCCTTTCCAGAGAATCTTTCTAGATATAAAGGGACCCAATGGGATCAGACCACAGGCAGGGAGATAAATATCCAAACTTCCTAAGTTCCAAGACCCTCCTACTCGGGCTCACGGTAATCCTGATAGCAGTAAAACAGCAGGGCTTCAGTCAGGGATAGAGTAAACCATCACTTCTATCTTGTTTCTCAAACAACATCCCACAAGATTCCCTCCATGTGTCTGTCTCTAAGTCTCTAAAAATATACTTTTCAGTTCAAAGCGTGTTTAGGCCCTGGTAGAACCCTGTGTGCGCTTTATTGTTCCACTTCCCGGGCTCTTTTCTGTTGTGCGAATTGTGCGCCTGTTCCCTCTCTCGCGCTAACCCTGTACGGTCGGTAATGTACTCACCATGGTGAGCAAGCTCTGCAAGTCGATCTCCAGGCTCTGCAGCGTTCGTCTGCGCTCTGTGATCTCCAGTTTCTGAGTATGTACACTTTCGGTGGTTTTGGTCATCGTTTGGTTCAGGGTGTGGCACTGGAACCAAATCGTAACACGGAATAAGCACTTAGCGCGACGACAAAAACAACAACAGCTTGCATTTATGTGGCTCCCTTCGCGCAGCAGGATAGCATCTCGGAGCTTCTCATGCATTCAGCGAAAGCCAGATCGAAAGCACCCCAACATTAAACAAGAGGTCATTGGATCAAGACATTGGTCACCATGAGTCTTATGAAACATTCTAATCACACCACTTTGGAAACGGATTTTAAGTTGATGTCTGTGATTGTTGCCCAACATTCTGTATCTGTTTTCTCCTCACCTTCTCCAGGTACCAGGCCTCGACATCCTTGCGATTCTTCTCCGCAATGGTTTCATATTCAATTCTTAAATTGGACAAAATCTTGTTCAGGTCGGTGGCGGGAGTACTGTCCAGATCCACAGTGACCGAGCCTCCCATACCCGTACGCAGAGACAGCAGCTCCTAAGACACAGAGAGACGATTGTAGAGACAATTCTTCAAACCCGGAAAGTCGCACGTTCAACAGAAATATTTCAATAGAGTCCTGGCCCAACCCACGGCCTGTGGACGGTCAAGAAATGGCCTGCTGAACACTTGCAAGAGGCTGGGCGAGTGCGTTTCAAAATCAGTTTGTTTTAACATTTTGTCCAGCATTTCTTATGTTCTTACGGGCCACAGCACATAGGTAGTTCAGAGCACGTGCGCGAGCGACCACAAGGAGGGTGGAAGGTGAACTGGATGGACCTGGGCCTTTTTTCGTTCAGCAGTTCTTATGCTCTTACGTTAAATCAATATTTTTATTTCCATGTTTATGGTGTGGCCGTAAATCAAGAAATATTCAATCAAGAAAATGTATTCGGTTAACCGAACCCCACCCCCAACCCCCCAAAAAAAGTTTGGATACCACTGTTTCAATAAAAGGTACCTCTTTGTGAGAGCGGTGGAGATAAACCAAGTCTTCTTTCAGTGCAGTGACCTGTGATTCCAGGCCCCTCTTGGTCAAACTCAGCTCATCCATCACTTTCCGTAGCCCTTGGATGTCAGCCTCCACACCCTTTCTGATGGCCAGCTCTGATTCATACCTGCATGGCAGGAGCGAAACCGATGGGGTTTTATTGAGGAACGACAACTTGCAGCACCTTGAGACGTCCTCCGGACGCGAAAGGCGCCATACACGTCTAATTTGTTGTTGTTGTTGTTGCATTTATATAGTGCTTTTGAAAGCGATTCACTGCTTTATCCACAGTCAATACACACATTTCACAGAATGTACTGTGAACAGCCACAACAATAACAACAAGATTGCATTTATAGAGTGCCTTTCACGTCGGGAGGACGTCCCAAGGCGCTGGACAGTTGGGTCGGGGCCCGAGCATTGGGGGGAAATGGTCAGGGTGAGGGGAGGGAAGGGAGGGAGCGAGGAGGGGGTAGAGAGTTGAGAGGGGAGCTGAAGGCACGGTCAAAGAGAAAGGTCTTGAGACCGGCCTTGAAGGAGGAAAGGGAGGAGGCGGCGAAGGCACTGGGGGATAGAGTTCCAGAGCCGAGGGGTTGAGAGGCTGAAGGCCCGGCCACCGATGGTAGGGCGGTTGGGGCGGGGGACGTGGAGCAGACCGGAGCCAGAGGAACGGAGGGTATGGGCAGGTAGGTAGGGGGATAGTAGGTCGGAGAGGTAGGAGGGAGCGAGGCCGTGAATGGCCTTGTAGGTGAGGATGAGGATCTTGAATTCGATCCTCTGGGGGATGGGGAGCCGGTGGAGGCGAGCGAGGGTGGGAGTGATGTGGTCGCGAAGCTACTGTGAAGGGAATTGACTGAATATTCGGTGGAATTAATAGGGAACGAGCAGGGGAATTGGATTGAGCAGAGCTTCAGTGGGTGAGCAAGCGCCAGCATAGCCACAAATAGCATCTTTCTCACCTCTGATTCTAGGATTATTAAACCTAAAGACACTTACTTGATTCTGAAGTCATCGGCAGCAAGTCTGGCATTGTCGATCTGCAGCATCAGTTTAGCATTGTGCAGAGAGATAGCGTAGATCTGTAAGACACAAACGTAGCGTCACTCACGCTGTGGTAGCGATACCGATCGGAGGGGAATTCAGGTTGTGGTGTATTCAGGAGAAAATCACTTTGATTCCCAGCTGTACCCAGATATGCCTTAGTGGAGTGACTGTGTGTTTTGTGGGTGAATGTGGCAGCCAATTTGCACAACAGCAATGTCCCACAACGGCCATGAAGTGAGTGAGCGGTTTTATTTGGAGAGTTGTTGGCCAGGGCATAATTGAACGAGAGCGCAGATTACTGTGAGGAAACCAATGTACATGTATGAGACTATGTGGAGTCCTGTAGCTCAGTGGTTAGAGCACTCGCTTTGCAAGTGAGAGACCTGAGTTCAATTCCAGGCAGAGGGCGAAACCTTGGGCAAGTTTCCTTACTCCACACAGAGCCTAATAATAATCCCTCCAAAACCAAAAACAATAATAAATTGGTCATTTTCAATCCACGACTGTTTGTGGGACATTGCTGTGCGCAATTGGCTGCCGCGTTCGCCCACAAATATACAGTCAATTCACTTTACAGTGTGTTCTGTGAAGCGCTTTGGGACGTCCTCCCGACGTGAAAAGCGCTATATCAAATGCAAGGATTATTATTATTATTGCAATGACACATGTCTTTTAAACACTGTCTATTTTCATCCTCTGTTTTTCTGTTCAGCATAATCACTTCCCCTTTGAATGCAATCGATAATGCAATGTGCTAAAAGTGCATTCAAACAACTCCCTGTTAACAATCTTACAACCACACATAGGCAGAATCCCATTTCAAACCACCACGGATACAATTTTGCTTTAGTAAAACAACTTGTAGTGAATCTGAAACACCCTTTAACAACTAAACAAAAAAGGTTAAAGCCACCAGTTGAATAAACAAACACCGGCCTTCGATAGTCATCAATTAAATTCATTATTATTATTATTATTAAATTCAAATACATCAAAAATAAAACACAAAAATTGTCCACCTTTCCTAAACAAAAATCAGCATTATTTGAAGAGTTGATCTCTGGCTATCCTCTGGGACTCTTGAGACCTCTTAACAGTGGAAACAACATGGAGACTAAGACTGGGATCCTAGATCAAACATTCCTCGTGTACCTAGCACCATGCTCAAATGGCTAATGTGAAAGTTGACCTTTGTTGGTATAAGAAGACTCCAAATAATAAGACAGTGGGCTTGTCCAACCCCAATATTTGGGGACACCAACAGGCTCTCCAAGTAGGCACTAGGTTACTGAGCTGACTATGTCTACCCACCTGAAGATGGCAGTCAGAGATGTTCCCCTCGTAGACGGTTAGGTCTTTGGTTGACACAGGGGCCTTCTTCTCGTAGAATTCATGAATCTGGAATTCCAGCTGTCTGTTGGACTTCTCCAAGCTGCGCACCTTCTCCATGTAAGAGGACAGACGAGCGTTGAGGTTCTGCATTGTCTGCTTCTCATCGTTGCAAAGTATACCTGCATCTCCTCCAAGCGACGCATAGCTAGCATTCCAGCTGCCTCCAGCTGAGGAGATTCGCTTTCCCCGGTTTGCTCCAATATTATAGACGCTGATCGCTCGCCGGCTAGGAGCGCCAGATCCAAACAGGCTGGATGATGTACTGGCAAAGGATCTCCTCTGGTTGCTGCTGACAATGACAGACCCACCAATATTGGCACTGTAGACAGAGCGTGACATGCTCACGGTGATTGGGATGGAGAGGAAGCAAGTAGAGCAATGAGCGTCACTGAAGCAGAGCTGGAGTGAAGAGTGCTAGGGGAACTGCTCCCAGCTCTATATATACACACACAACTCAATAGACCTTGAACCAACATTCTCAGAACTGTTGTCAAGGAATGCAAACCTGTTGCATATTATTTGACGCCATTGACGCCATTGTTCTTTAGACGGTTTCTGACATTCCTCCCCGTTGTGGTATGTGTGCTATTTTTCACTTCCTCCTGATTCTCACGTGGATCACCGTTGACAAATCCAACTTGCAAGGTTGTCGGTGAATTTCCAACTAAACCGCAATCTCAAAATCCAAACTGTAAGAGCCACATTCTATCTTGTTTTGGAAGCATGGAATGTTCCAAACCAAAAATAGACCCAATAAGTCTGTTCTATTTATTTTCCACAGGCTTCACCCAGTTTAATTGGATTCTTCTTCTCCCACTACACCCCATATAATAATAATAATAATAATCCTTGCATTTGATATAGCGCTTTTCACGTCGGGAGGACGTCCCAAAGTGCTTCACAGAACACACTGTAAAGTGAATTGACTGTATATTTGTGGGCGAACGCGGCAGCCAATTGCGCACAGCAATGTCCCACAAACAGTCGTAGATTGAAAATGACCAATTTATTATTGTTTTGGTTTTGGAGGATTATTATTAGGCTCTGTGTGGAATAAGGAAACTTGCCCAAGGTTTCGCCCTCTGCCTGGAATTGAACTCAGGTCTCTCACTTGCAAAGCGAGTGCTCTAACCACTGAGCTACAGGACTCCACATATACACCCACGCTTTAATCTAAGTCTTCAAGAAGCATCTAACTTCCTTTTATGGGCTGTGCTTCAAACTGTACCTTTTTGACCCCACTTTTGATCATCTTTCCCCTCCCACTTCAGCTCAACTAGTCCGTGCCAGAGGTATATGCCACAGGAGCCACAGTCTTGCTCTTTGGGGTGGTGTTGGGGTGAGGGAAGGCAGAGAGGTGGGAGGGAGACCAAAGGCACGATCGAAGAGAAGGGTCTTGAGACCGGCTTTGAAGGAGGCGAGGGAGGAAGCGAGGCGATGGGACCGTGGAATGGAGTTCCAGAGTATGGGGGCAGAGAGGCTGAAAGCCCGGCTACTGATAGTAGGGCGGGTCGGGCGGGAGACATGGAGCAGCCCGGAGCCCGATGAACAGAGGGAGCGGGCAGGTTGGTAGGGAGTCAGCAGGTCAGAGAGGTAGGAGGGGGCGAGGCCATGGATGGCCTTGAAAGTGAGGACGAGGATCTTGAACTCAATCCTCTGGGGGATAAGGAGCCAGTGGAGCCGGGCGAGGGTGGGAGTGATGGGGTCACGGAGCCTGGTGCGCGAGAGCACACGAGCTGCAGAGTTTGGGATGATCTGCAGCTTGTGATTATTATTATTATTTATTGATATGATGGGGGAGAACAGGGAGAACGAAGGGAGTGTTTGAGAGCGCATTCATTGAAATATCTCAGACAGGGTTGTATGGGAAGACTAAGTCGGCCAAGCGCAGGTTTGTGGGCTGTCACAAGATGGGTGGCAGGTACTAGGCTTCCTGGTGAGCCTTGCCACCGTTTTCCTGCCCGTAGCTCAGACACACATTACTACCCAATGAGCGACAGTTCCACCAGTTGCATGTACGGACCTTGAGCAACCTCTCTACACACCAATCAAGGTGGAATCCAAGCCCTGGCCATATGACCTGGACTCCGGGTAACCCCTTCCAACAGCCGACACCCCAAGCCCCAGAGATTCCTCATCAGTTATCTGACAGACATTTCCCTTCATTGTGATGGGAGGTCCTTGACAGAACAACTCCTGATGTGCCAAGCAACTTGATGTTCCAGGGGTGATAAAGCCCGGCCCAAAGCTCTCACATTCTGCTCAATCCAGGTCATCAGGTGAAAGGTTTGGGCAAATAGACATGCCTGCTGTGAAGCTGACTGCTCCTCCAGGATGCTCAGTGGCAGCCGTGCGAAATTGGCTGCCGCATTTTGCCCACAAACATATACAGTCAATTCACTTTACAGTATATGCTACGAAGCGCTTTGAGAGGTCGCAAAGACGTGATAAGGCGCTACAGAAAACGCAAGGATTGTTACGGTTATCAATACTTATTCCCAAGCTTGTTGTTCACAAGGTTTCAGATGGATTTATGTTCTCAAAAGGGCCGGAAATGTAGGAAATTTGGATTTTCCTTATAAATGATCAAGAAGTCCCATACATCTCCCTCTTTCAGGAGGTACCACATGAATTGCACTTCGGAGAGTTGGTGGATGTGAGGACTCAATCCTGCACTTGTCAGATGTCAAACGACTTCCCTTGGGAAAGGGAGGTGAGTGGGGTCATGTTTGGCCATGGAATGTTGGAATCGGGCCAGCCCTCTCTGGCGGTGTCGCTAGTCCGGTTCCAGAGCCGGGCGGATCCATAGCATTCCAGGGCACTGCTGATGATAGCAAAGCCCAGCCTCGCCTGCATTAGATGCCTTATTTGGATTACATCCAGACCATTCGACTGTTTCACCAGTTTTGAATAACACACAATGGTATGTTCTTCAAAACTCTGCAGCACCAGTTTATCTCCTACACTTTTTTTTTGTCAGCCAAGAGTCTGACAGAAGCAACAATAAAAAATTAAATTTATATAGCGCCTTTCCTCTCGGCTAAACCGCATAGCTTGCCTTGGTAGGACTTGGAAGGACAGACAAGTCACTGAGGGCAGGGAATCCTCCCACTCAGCTCCTGTTAATCCTGCACACCAAAGCCCTAATGGGTAGGGTGGTCCTCGCTGGATAAGCAGCGGGAAAGCTTGCCCATCGGCAATATCAATGGCAAGCTATGTGGTTTTAGCCGATTAGACTCCAGCAGTTACCCCAACACACACTCTGGGGTCCCCCAAGCCTTGTCTCTTGCCAATCTGCGCCTTATACATTTCTGGAATTAGGTAAACAGGATGTGTGACTCCAGGGAGAGAGAGAGAGAGAGAGAGAGAGAGTCCATTCCATTCCAACAATCTATCTCTGGGATTTCCATGTGTCGGTGGGATGCCTGGAAATCTCAGCTTGGTTTGGATACTCTTAAGCAACAGCGATGCTGCAAAGCCTTAACGGTCCAGAGCCTTCTGATCAAAACGCAAAATACTGCAGATGCTGGAAATCTGAAACAAAAACAGAAGTCGCCTGATCTGCTGAGTGTCCCCTCCAACTTCTGTTTTTCTGTCAGGGCACTTATGATGTTCTTCTGATGTGAAAGGTGCCATATAAATGTCATTTATTGTTGATCGTGGTGGGTTTCCATACGTGTCAGCCACCAGCTGACCAAAATAAAAGCCCGGGAGATGATATGTGTTGCGGAGTTTTGATTGATGTGTCATTGCTTCAAACTATGAACCCCCCACCCCCCACCCCCCCCCCCCCCCCCCCCCACCCCCACCCGGTGAAATAAACAAACTACTAGAAAACTCGAATAGTCTGGGTGTGACCTGCTACTCCCAGATAAGGTATTTAATGCAGATAAAGTATCTTGAAATCATTTCCTTATAGTCAAGCTAAAAATGCCATTTTACCTGATGAACCTGATTTTACCACTTCGTTGTAAATGGTTCGATACAATCCTTGGCCGAAACTGAGAGTAATTTGCACACACAAATGACTCAATGAGACTTTCCAACATTTTCATAGAATATTGCAGCCCAGAAGGAGGCCATTCGGCCCATCAGGTCTGTGCCAGCTCTTTGGAAGAGCTGCCCAATCAGTTCCCACTCTCCCGCTCTTCCCCATATCCTTCCAGTTTTTTTTTTCCTTTTCAAGTGCTTATCTAATTCCCTTCTGAAAGTTGCTATTGAATCTGTTTGCACCACCTTTTCGCGCAGTGCATTCCAGACCGAAACAACTCTCGGTGTAAAAAAAAATTCTCTTCATCTCCCCTCTGGTTCTTTTGCCAATTATCCTAATTCTCTGTGCCCTGGTTACCGACCCACCTGCCGGTGGAAACAGTTGACCCCCATCCAGCCCCACCCTCGCCCGGCTCCACTGGCTCCCCATCCTTCAGAGGATCGAATTCAAGATCCTGGTCCTCACTTTCGAGGCCCTCCGCGGCCTTGACCCCCTCTACCTCTCTGACCTGCTGACCCCCTATCAACCTGTCCGCTCTCTCCGTTCAGCGGGCTCCGGCCTGCTCCACGTCTCCTGCCCGACCCGCCCTGCCATCGGCAGCCGAGCTTTCAGCCTCTCTGCCCCCACCCTTTGGAACTCCATCCCACAACCCCTTCGCCTTGCTCCGTAGCCTTGCCTCTTTCAAGGCACCACTCAAGACCCTCCTTATTATTATTATTATTATTATTTTTACCTGTGCCTTCAGCCGCCCTCCTTACTGCTCTGCCCTCCTTCATCCCAACCTTGCCCCCCCCACACTCGGTTCCTGATCACTGACTGACTCTCCTCTCCTCTCTCAACCTCTCTCTCCACATCCACTCTGCGACCCACACCCACGGTCACCCGCTCGACCCGGTGATCACCCGGGGCTTCAGCATCTCGGATGTCACCATCACCGACAAGGCCATCTCTGACCACCATTTCATCTCCCTCAACTCCTATATCCCTCTCCCCACTGCCCCCAAACCTACCACCATTTTCTACTGCCCGTGGAAGAAGATCTCCCAGCAATCCCTCTCCACTTCCCTGGAGTCCTCTGAACTCCCCCCACCTCTGGCCCATCTCCCGCACCAACCCATCCTCTGCATTTATTCTCCTCCACAGCACCCTCTCCACCAATCGCGACGTCCTTGACCCTCTCACCTCCCGAACTGCCTGGTTCTCTTTGACCGTGCCTTCAGCTCCCCTCTCGACTCTCTTCCTCCTCCTCGCTCCCTCCCTTCCCTCCCCTCACCCTGACCATTTCCCCCCTCCTCTCTCCCTCCCTTCCCTCCCTCACCCTGACCATTTCCCCCCTGCTCGGGTCATGACCCAACTGTGCAGCGCCTTGGGACGTCCTCCTGACGTGAAAGGCGCTCTATAAATGGAATCTTGTTGTTGTTGTTGTTGTTGTTGGTTCACCAGCCACCTCCGCTCGCTCAAGGGCCAGGTGCGGGCTTCCAAACACA